CCCCCCCCCCCCCAGCTGTGGACTAGAACTGTATCCAAACTGCTCGTTACCTACCAGTTGAAGCAGGTAACAACCTTCTGTGTCTGCAGCTGTTCTAAGCATGAGCGGCGGCATGGAGTTCGGGCAGCTGTGTGACTTTTTTTTTTTTTTAAATGTGACCTTGAAATGACCTTGACTTATTTTTTATTTTAAATATGGACTTGAATTTGTATGACCTTGACTTTTTAATATGACCTTGACTTTTTGGGTCTGCCCTTGAAATTACCTGACATTGGTCTGACCTTGGCATTCCATTAATCTGACCTTCCCCTGAGTCTGACCTTGGCCTGCCCGCTGCTTTCAGGACGGCGGGTCCACAAAGGGCTCGCCGTCTAGGCCCCGTCTGACGCCACGCTGCATGGGAAGCTGCTCGTCTACAGCCACCCCCCGAAGGCCGCCATCCACCAGGGAGTCAACCTGATAGGAGAGGGGGGGTCCATGGCCCTGCCGTCTGGTTCTAGCCTGGTACTGTCCCAGTTCTGTCTCGGTTCTGGCCCTCCACGGTTCTGACCCACAGCTCTCCCTCTCCCTGCAGGTCTGTGCTTCAGGCTGTTCTACGTGAGTCCGGACTGGAGCTCCGGGCCGGTGGGGGGGCGGCGGGTCGGGACCATGCTGCCCATGCTGTACCCGGGAATCACCTCCCACCTGCAGATGAGCCACAAGAGAGACCCCACAGGCTACTTCTGAGGGCCTGAAGAACCGGACCAGAACCGGGCCAGAGCTCTGAGTCCTGCTGGGACCACAAGCTGCACTGTTTATTGAATAAATGGTTTAAATCATCCTGGGTTTTGTGCTTTCTGGGTTCTTTCCAATGTGGGGGTGGGGGGGCCGCCTGCTCCGGTGCGTTCCGAAGCACCCTGGGTCTTTTGGACCATCTGGACCTTTTGGACCTTATGGACCCGCATCTTTCCAGCAAGACCAGCCTCAGAACTCACATCAGAACTGAATATCTGCCTCTGCTCCTTCAAAGGCAGCTGCAGTCTTGGTGTCCTGATTGACGACCAGCCGAGGGTAAAGACCACCGGTCCTCTGCTGCTGGACAGCGTTGCTTCTTATTACTAACAGAAAAACCACCTCAGAACGTCCCAGATCAGGTGTCCTCCTCCCAGTCTGAAATACTGACCAGGAG